CCCTCCGTATTTCCTGCTTTCCCACTTACTGAACCCAGCAAAAACCCCATATACGTTGGTCGTAGTCAACGAGACGCCGTGCGCAGCTCAATTAGCGATGTCAGTCTCAACGTCGTAATCCACCCTCAACGACCAAGCCGACTGCCGTTGCTGCTGCCTCAAAGTCTTCGTCCCCATATCTTCTTTGTGCAGCTGGTCCTGAACTATTAGCCTTTCGGTCTATCTAACCTGGTTTGCGCTCATTCTACGCTAGTTTAACCTACAATAGAATCAATTGCCGAAAAATGAAAAACCTCTCTTAAATTACGTCATTTGCATAAATGTATTAAAAATAAACTAACTAAATTCTGCTAATCATTATAAGCACTGATTGTCAAAAATTAACACAATAACCTCTTAAGGATTAATTTTTAGCTCTGGGAAGGGTTATGGGCAAATGGGATTGAATTTCTCTCTAAAAACTTTTTATATGAAGTTATTCCAACTCCTAGTAAAAGAAAGCGTTTAAGCTGCTTCTATTTCCATTTATCATATGATGAGGACTATCAAGATCCAAACTATATGTTCAAGCGTTAAAATTTTATACTGATCCAGTCCATCGCTAGATAGTCAACATCTACGCTTTCGGATGGTTTGCGTCAATTCTTCTCTCAAGACGTGCCAGATTGTCCCAATAATTCCTTGAACCATAGCACTTCAGAGTATCCCAGCCACTAAAGGAAGGTGCTAATTGTAGTAATTATCATAAGCTTCTCGAGCTCGAAAAGGGTAACCAAGATGCTTAGATTTATATTAAATTATTCAATGAAGAAAACCTGTGAACAGAACTGATTGACGTAAATTGCGTTTAGGTAAAAAATTTCTTCCAAGCTGAAAACGTTAAATTTGGAGAGAAAGAGCGTTAGAGGGAGTCAGCAATCACTTAACCTTCCTATTAAGATTGTTTATAAGTTTCTAGTGTTAATCGCTTTTTCGCCAGATTGCTTACGTTGATCATCCTTAACAATTGTTAGAATGCCCGCTAAGCGTTGCTACACCTACTTAGGTTTCACGCAAATATAAAGAACTTATAGTTTAATTTTTGAAATTTGACATTTTTTGAGGCTGTGAATTGACTAATTACCCGATTTGAAAGCGGATTTGCACCAATCAAACATTGTCGTCGAGGTCATCACCAGGCAAACCGAGGCAACCGATGCGACCTCAGTGTCAAATTAGCATATCCGCTCATGGAAGGCAATACACCAATTTATTGAGTTATCGATCCTGTACAAGGCTGGTGGAAGATTTGATTATAATTGTGCTCTCAGCCATGTTGACAGTAATTTTCGTTGGGATATCTTAACCAGTATGCAACTATATTTTATGAATAGAGTAAAAATGCTAAGATTAAATGTAAGTTTAGCAGGTAAGAAGGTAGGGTAGATTTTTTTTGGTGTAAAAGAGATAACACTTGATAATTTCAACAAATTAAGAGTGCCATCTTATATTGGAGTATATTGCGAGAATGAATTACCCAACTACTAACCCTACTAAAACCGGCCTTGATGTCAAACCACTCTCGAAAGTTTCCCTATCCAGCATTTCATTCTTTCCCGACCCCTTAGCGAAACGAAAACGAACTCAACCAGGCCGTGGACGAACGAAGGAGGATGGGGTGACGGCATATGGCGAAAGCGATTCTCACGCACATCGTGCTGAGTGTCGCACACCGCAAGTGAATGGCTGGGCCCGTCGACGACCCAGCGCTGGCGACGGTCTCGTGCTTCGCCTTTTCTCACATCCCTTCTTTTGTACTCTTTTCACTTTTTGGAACTTCTCGGATGTTTGGGATTTTGGAGTGAATTCTATCTATTACAACCAA